CGCGCCCCTAGAATATCTGCTGTTTAGCTGCCGGTTTCCGGTCACATGGCCTAAAGGCGAGGTCACTAGCGATGGAAATGGAAACACGTTGAACAGGCTAGCTGTGAGAAGGATTAACGTTCATTTTAAATCCGTGCATTGTCACTTAATACTAATACAGACCGTTTTCTAAAATGGCTAATTTCTCTCTCTCCCTCTCTCGCCCTCGCTCTCTCGCTCTCTCGCTGTCTGCCTCTGTCTCTGTCTCTGTCTCTGTCTCTGTCTCTGTGTCGTCGGGAGGCCAACTCTGGTCATCCCATGGAGCACTTCGCATAATATCCTCTCTCTCTCTCTCTCTCTCTCTCTCTCTCTCTCTCTCTCTCTCTCTCTCTCTCTCTCTCTCTCTCTCTCTCTCTCTCTCTCTCTCTCTCCCTCTCTCTCTCTCTCTCTCTCTCTCTCTCTCTCTCTCTCTCTCTCTCTCCCCCGAAAGCTCCATAAAAGCTCACGACAAAAACTTCTAGGCAGGTCTAGACCCTTCCGACTATTGGGTCATTAAACTGACTTGGAAGGTCAATGCATGACCTATGGTCAACGAATGACCTATGATCTATAAGGGTATCATCGGCTTCCTCTCGTCACGTGCAACATGCTCCTTCTTTTCAAGAAGCTCTAGTTTGATCAAAAGCCGATCAACTGTGGGCCGATCAACTGTGGCCAACAAAAGCCGATTCATCCCCACCCAACCGCTAGCGCCTGCGAAAACGCCGATATGGGTGCGAGTTATGGCATATTTCTTTATAAACAATGTTATGTTTTACTTTTTTAGTGGCTCACATCGATTTTGTTCTAAAAATAACGCAAAAAATCAGCATACAGTGATGTTACTTAAATTTTTACGCCTAGTATCCTTTTATTAATACTGCAATATCATTCATGCAACATATTTCTTGGTCAATTTGTGACAAAGTTTTGGAAATATAGTGCAGCAGAAAACAAAGCTTTGTTGTGAAACGACCTCCAGCCTCAGCAGGTCACGGTTAATCCTTGCCCCGCTGGGGGGTGGGGGGGTGGGCAATATAGCCCTCCTATGTATTTTCCTGAATAGCAAGAAAACGGCGGCGCGCAGCCCCGCTAAATTTTCAGTAGCTTGCCGGGCATCAATGTGACACCTTCACACAAAATTTCAAGTCTTAGATTACCTTAGGTCAGGAGTTATTGAGGTCAAACTGAGGTCATGTTCGAGCAAAAATGAGCAAAAAACATGAAATCTTGAAACGCTCACAAAAGCTACTGTTAACAAGCAACTTCAAAGCTCTCTATCTGGTCGTGTAGAGAAAAGACGGCGCTACAAAACTCCAATCTGGGATTTTCAAACTTTTGAGCCTTTGACCCCCCAAATCAAACAATTGGTCTGTTAAAAAAAATCAAAAAGTTTTCGAGTTAAAAAGAACGAAATATATATGATAATCCCTGCTTTCTTCGATCTACATCACAAATTGTTGATCGATACCTCCTTTTTTGGCCAAGTTATAGCGAAAAACATATTCAAAATTGATGACGTCAATTTTTAACTCAACTTCTAGCAATTCTGGACCACGTAGCGCAAAACAAAGACCACCATTAGACTCCCCGTGACGAGCTGCATCAAATTGATACCCATTTCATGCAGAAATATGAAATTAGAAATTTGACCTGACCTTTACCTGACCTTTACCAGAACATAACGTAAACTGGCCCCAAAGGCTGCCTGACCCACATAATCGCATTTGTCATGTAAAATGGACCAGAAAACATGCATCACATAATAGTTATTTTCATATTGTGACCCTCAGTGACCTAACCTCTGTGACCTGACCTGGTATCGATGACCCCAAATAGCAAAATATGTGTTTGACTGTTTGACGAACAATTTCCCATCGAAAACTGTCATTCATCGATTCCTTATCCATATCCATGAATGACATGCATTTTACTATTGTATTTCAGTTGAGACAAGTATAATAACACGGAACAAAATTATGCGTTTGTTATTAAATTATGCGTTGTTATTAAAATTGTGTTTATTAAATTATGCGTTCCGGCTAAGTAGCTGATGACAGCTATTTAGCCGAAACGCGTTCGTCTATCATTTTTGTTCCGTGTTATTATGCATTTTACTCGATTTTGCAACACATTTCTTGAAATGCCTGTAAACGGTGAAAATTCGACATTTGACCTGTGACGTCATCGCCCGGTTTGACCGAGGTCAATGAAATTGAGCCAAAAGGTATTTCCTCGTTGGGGCCATCGAACACCGTTTGCTTCTTGTCGCTATTTTGCGTGGTTCTCGATATCTTAGGGGGGGGGGGTGACAAAATGCTCCCCCCCCCCCAATGGGACCGATGCTCGGTAGACCCTAATGGGGCGCGGCTTAAATGACAGAACTGTTCCCAAGAAATAACATTACAGTCGTCTCCCAGCCTCAATGCAATGGTAAGCGGCTAAAACTTTGAACGACTACCTATGGATCGGCACGCTGCCGGCTCACCCCGCCCGCTGGCTACTGGTGGCCTTGACCGTTCAATGCGGATTGGCCAACGGCCGAGGTCGTGCGCTGGTCAGCACGCAGAGAGGACGGGACGCGGTACTGCACATTGTGAGTGACCTCTGACCTTTCCCCGTCCCCTGACCGCATGCCGTGTCGCCGGCCCAGACGATTGAAACCGGTTCTAGCCTCTACGCAGGCTGCCACTCTTACCCTTCCCTCCCCACTTTACTATGTGCCGTAGTACGCGCTCGCGAGTAACTGGGCGGAGCAAATGGTCACCGATACAGAGGCGGAACTGGTTGCCCTCCCGCTCGCCGAGCGACCTACCGCTAAAACCCGCGAGACCTGTACCTTTCAGCGGTTGGCCTCTAGAACCACGCCGGCCGGCACTGTCGAGTGGTGACCCGACCTGACCTCGCCGGAGGGTTCGTGACGTCATGCCAGCGGGCCGGCCGTGAGCGGGACGGCTGAGGTCCACTCAACGCGGCCCGGGCGAGTGAAGCGGACCAGCAGCGGTCGCTGCTGAGCACGTTTTCTCCACCCACCCCTCCAACCATCTGCGTTGGTTTTACAGGGTGTCTCAAAAGTTCGTTGACACATTTCCCATGCCCATAAAGCATTTAAGAACCGGCCAAAAATCTAAGGTTTTGGTGTCTGTGTGCACACTAGACAAATATGCATGCTTTGACAACTGATTCGGAAGGTTGGAAATCAAACTATTTGCTGTATCTCCAAAAATATTTGTCCATACCGATTTTCGTCGCTCCGTCAGCTGCCGGAGGCTGATAAAAGGTTACCAGCTTTCAAGCCCTTGTAGGGGAATACCCTCCAGTTTCTGCGTCAGATTTAGGTTTGACGAGCTCCACGGCAACATCCGCTTCTCCCTGAAAGCCGACAGCTTGCATCGACACCATCCATGAGTATTTTGTAGGTATTCTCTGGCGCCAACTCCTTCATGAATGACTGGCGCTGACCTCACAAGCACCATTTTCCTTTTCAAAACAACCCCCTTCCTGAACAAATGGGAAGTGCCAGGGGCGAATTTTTCACAGCATATCGTAGAAGAATGTGTCGGCCATCTGTTTCTTAGACACGTTGTGCAAATTTTGCGAATCCCAAACGCTCATCATTCCCCATGACAAGACCTTCGCTGAGTTGCGGAGTGTTTTCCTCAGAAGAGGTTCTGCTTTGTAAACGGCCAAAACCTGTCCATCCTGCGGTTTTGTCGGGATTTTGTGTCTAAAAGAAAGCTACTCGCTCCAATCTGCCTCTTGAAACTTCGTAGGATAAAAATTTACATTAATTGACACTTTGAAGGGTCAGTTGTCCTTGGCATTGACGTTTTTCGGGTTATTTTCCCCCAAAATTTAGCGTTATAGATATTATAAATAATTTCAAATGATGCTTTGTCTTTATTTTACGATGAACTGCAATTTTTTAAACTGGTTAACCTCTGTCTGTGAGCTTCTTGTCAGTTTTCAATAGTTATGACTTCATTTTCAGCTGCTTTCCGAGCACGAGTCTGCTGCCGTACGAGGGTTGTTCAAAGCGCTGTTAGTCTCGCATGGTTTTGTCCTTCAAAAATTTTAGCCGCCGTTTTTATTAGATGATCATCATGTTGTACTCATCCTCGCCGACAGTTTGTCATGGGTCATTTCCGACTTAACCATTCCCATTACTTCTGAAATAGAGAGTTTCTCAGCCGATCCGATTTTGCGACCTCCATTTTCATGTCTGACCCATGGTCAGAGATGAACCATTTTTGTGAGCGCATGAAGGGTCGAATGCGCTTGAAAACAATGAGACTGCTTGAGGAAGGTTGTTACGAATGCCCATGCAAAATTTCGACCATTTATTAATTGTTGATTTAGAATTATTGACAAAAAACCATGGCTGGTACCTGTCAACGAACTTTTGAGACACCCTGTACTAACCTTCATTTCCTTACCTCATCGACCGTCTCCTCTCTCTTAACGATCGCCTGGAAGGTGAATGGGATATAAGGGAGAGAGAGACAGCCGGCCGATAAACAGCCAACACATGAGTATGGAGCATACGATGCCGAAGCGTTACGGGATTAACAAAAGATAACGCCAGTTATGTATCTCCGAATTAAAGCAATTCTCGATGTTGTGGGTGCCCAAACCGGTACGTGCAAGCCAGGTACCCCAATCATTATGTTACTTTAATCTTTAAATATCACTTTAAATTAGCTGCATTCGCCAGATAGCCCGTCGTGAAAACGGTTATTATGTTAGTACTTACGCTCAAAGTGGGTGTAACTATCTTCATTAGTATTAATTAATGCGAGAAACGCTTATCTATGACGTAACAAAGGTGTCCCATAGGACCCAGCGTTCCCGCACTGGTGAGCGTTGCCACACCTCGATGTCGGGTCGGCCGGCGGGACCACTACCGACTGTATATAAAAGTGGTCGCCCGTCTTTCACCGTCACCAGTCGTGGCCGCCTGCAGCGAGCTCAGTGTCTGCACAATGCGCGCCCTCATTGTCGCCGTCCTCATCGCCGTGGCCAGCGGCTCCGGCATCAGCTACGGCGGACCGGGCAGAGGCTATGGCGCGGGGCCGATCGGCGCTGCTGTGGTGATCGGTAAAAGCCACGGCAGAGGCTACGGAGGCTACGGGCGAGGCTACGGCAGTCTCGGCTACGGCCACCTGGGCGTCGGCAAGGCTGAGGCTGCCGTGCGCCCCGCGCCTATCGTGCACGGCGTTCATAAGGCCGTCGCCGTCGACTACGCCGAGCCGCGGCCGTACCACTACCAGTACGCCGTCGACGACCCTCACTACGGACCCATGTTCAACAAGCAGGAGGAGGCCGACGGTGCCGGTAACGTTGTGGGCTCGTACGCCGTCAACCTGCCCGACGGCCGCACCCAGATCGTCAAGTACGTCGCCGACCACTACAACGGCTTCAACGCCGAGGTCAGCTACGAGGGCTACGCCCATCACCCGCAGGTGGCTCGCGGCTACGGCTACGGCGGCGGGCGAGGCGGGTACGGCGGCGGGCGAGGCGGGTACGGCGGCGGCCGTATCGTGGGTCTGGTGGGGGGCCACGGCGGGTACGGCGCCGGTCGTATCGGGTACGGCCGGGGTCTGATCGGCGGCCCCGGCCGTGTCCCCATCTACGGACACTGATCAGTAGGAGCCAGTCGGACTGAGCAGGACATGCGCCGCATGTCCCCACCAGCCACTCACCGGCTGGGCCCGGCCGTCCGCGTCTTCTGTGCCGCGCCGACTAGGGCTATGTTTGTATCTGTCGTTGATTAGGGCACTGTTTGTATTTGTCGCCGATTAGGATAGTCTGTTTTTGTTGCCGACTGGGTACTGTTAGTATTTGCCATGTTCAAGGGCCGCTATGCTGCCAGGAGCATCACTGCTATTGTCTTTCACCAATATATTTGTTATGTGTTATCGACACGATGTCCCACATCGGGACTTCTCCAAAGAACAAAAATGGTGACGCACGGTGAAAGTCGATCATGATACTGTACTTAGCCATCTCCTTCGAGGCTTTTTTGTTCCACAACGGAAGTTCAATGTGGTGCACAGGGGGCCCAGAAATTATTTGTCCCTCCATCAGCTCGCCACCATAGTTAAGCCTCGTCCCGTTGGGTAGGGGGGGGGGGGCAATATGGCCCCCTGTGGTTTTCCCTGAATAGCAAAAAACGGCAAAAAATGCCGCCAAATTTTCAGTACCTTCCCGGGCATCAATTTGACACCTTCACACAAAATTTCAAGTATAAGGTCACCTTAGGTCAGGAGTTATTGAGGTCAAACTGAGGTCATGTTAGAGCAAAAATGAGCAAAAATATGAAATCTTGAAACGCTAACAAAAGCTACAGTTAACAAGCAATTTCAAAGTTCTTTATGTAGTCGTGTAGAGAAAAGACGGCGCTAAAAAACTGCTATCTCGGATTTTCATAATTTTGTGATTTTGATCCCCTAAATCAAAGAATTGATTTTTTTTATAAAATAGCAAAAAATCTCAAAAGTTTTTCGAAGTTCAAAAAAAGAATATATTGATAGTCCCTACGCTCTTCTATCTACAAACCAAGTTTTAGATCGATACCTCCTTTTTTGGCCAAGTTATAGCGAAAAAAAAACTGTTTGATATTGATGACGTCAAATTTGTGAATTCAATTTTAAGCAGTTCTAGACCACGTAACGCAAAAAAAGACCACCATTAGACTCCCCGTGACGAGCTTAATCGAATCAATACCCATTTTCTGCAAAAATTTAAGTTTGAACTTTGACCTAATTTGACCTGGCCTTGACTTGACCCTCGCCAGTTCATAACCTAAACTGGCCCTTAAGGTTGCCTGACTCACATAATCGCATTTGTCATATAAAATGGACCATAAAACATGTATCACACGACACTTTCGTATTGTGACCCTCAGTGAACTGACCTCTGTGACCTGACCTGGTAGCAGTGACCTCAAATAGCAAAATATATGTTTGACGGAAATTCCATTTCGATGATTTTCAATAATATGCCTTTTTACTTGATTTTAAAACACCTTTCTTGAAATGCCTGAAAACGGTGAAAATTCGACATTTGACCTGACCTGTGACGTCATCGGTTTGACAAAGGTCAATGAAATTGGTCACAAGGTAGTTCCCCGTTGGGGCTATACAACACCGCTTGTTGCTTGTCGCTATGTTGCGTGGTTCTCGAGATCTTAGGGGGGCCAAAATGCCCCCCCCCAAACGGGCGCGTTGATCGGGAGTCCCCAACGGGACGCAGGTGTATAAACAAAGAGCCCCCGGGTCATGGTTTATTTACCGATTTATCCCCTGCCCTGTCCCACCCATTCCCTCATCCCCTTTGGCATTTCATAGATCAAGATGTCCAGAATATCCGCGCTGATGTTCAGTCACACCTTTCACAGGTTCCTCTAAAGTCCGTTTTCTGTGGGAGCTGGTTTAATCTTGCTGAGCTCCTCCTTAATGATTCCCCATAGGTTTTCGGTTGGGATTGGGGCAGATGATTCGATTTGACTTCCTACTTCATTCCAGTTTTCACAATAATTTCAGCGCGATGACGCTTTGTCAAAGAGTTTCTTTCGTCATAGTAGACAAAGACACCACGTTCAGGTGCGAGTTACGCCTGCCAAACACTGGCCCCTGGCGCCTCGCAAGTGTGAAGTTCAGGTGACCGGGTAAGGTCTGTGACCAACGGACAGCTGTGGATAGCCTGAGACACGGTCTTAGCAAATTTTCAACACTTCTTAAAGCGCACGGTGGGATTATAGCTGAAAGAACAAGGGTCAAAGAATTTCCGGACACCCTGTACCTATGTCATGGGGGCTCATCGACCAGGCCCAGCAAACTGCCTGCCACCACCAAAAGTCTTCTGAGCCAGACACCACACATTTTACGAGCTTGAAGCCTCCCCCTGACTTATACGGTCCCACCCTGCTACGCACGCCTTTAAATTGAAACTTGATGCGGCGGATACACCAGGGCCAATGTTATAAATAAATGGTGTAAAATTCTTTTCAGAGCATGTGGTAGCATTTACGGTGATAACAGTGCTGGCAAGTGGGAAAAGCGTATCCGAGTCAAAGGAACGATTTCCGGGTCCTCCTTGTTCTAGCAATTGGGCAGAATACGATGGGCAGAAATGCATAAAGCTATTTTGCGTTTAATAGCCATTGTTCTGCAGCTGGATCTCAGCCAGTGCCGACACATCCGTTTCATATTGACAAGACTGGGCCCAGGAGTGCCAGGTGCCGATAATATTCAGGCCATGGTTTTGGAACAATGTCTCTCGGACCTCGGCGCCAATATCTCGCCAGATACAGAGCTGCGGGATTCCGCCGCTATGATACCAATAATGGTTGCTGGTGTCTGGGTGCTCTGGGTGTTTGAAAGATGTTTGGCCGCTGATAAATTTTATTTTGTCACGGGTTCCATTTTGAGTAGGTACTCCTCACCATCCCGTTTTTTATTATTCCTTGATCCATTTTAGGCATATCGAAACACATTATTCTTTTCTGAGTCACATTCTGAGCTAAATTTTCCTAAATGAGGTGATTTTACATTCAGTCGCCTTTTAAAACTTCGTAATGTCAATGAAAGTGAGAGGCTCTTGGGCCCAGAGAACCGTGGAACTGCTAAGAGCTCACCGTTCACAGTATCTTATTCAGCGTTTCTCTTAGCCGTTGCCAGCTCTTGACTCAATCATTTACCCCTCCATCCAGGATGAACCGACCGGGATTTTGTACCGCGTTCCGGCTCTCACTGCCGACACTCGCCGCCAGTGCGGCGCAGCCTGGCCGCAGCAAAAGCCAGTGGCGGCGCAGCCTGGCCGCAGGTAAAGCCAGGGTCCAGTGGCGGCGCAGCCTGGCCGCGGGTAAAGCCAGTGACGGCGCAGCCTGGCCGCAGGTAAAGGGGTCAGAGGGTACTCGCCCTTCCGCCCGCGTCGAATGAGCTGTTTTGAACTTAAAATGTCAAGTTAAAAATTCAAACCAGCGCCAAGGTTAAGACATGAACGGAAATGGTTATGCTGAATCATAGACCTCTGTACATATACAGAGGTCTATGGCTGAATTTAATTCGATCATCGATGTGTTTTGTTCACTTGATCTGTGTCGTTCCGAGGTATTTTTCGCTCTAACGCTCTAGCATGCTTCTAAAAGAAGTTGTAAAAAAACTGCTGGTGACTTTGCATGAACGAAAATATGACCTTTCAAATGACCACTGGTCATCAGCTGCACCCTATTAATTCCATAAGGGTAAATATGTCCTCAATCTGAAAACAGCTTGCAGTACTTGCTCGCTTGTTCATAGCGGGAGACATTTGTGCTCCCCCTTGCTATATAACATGAAGGCTTGTGTTCAATAGCGCAAAACGTTATTCGTGAGGATCGTGTTTTCCATTGAAAAATAAATCTGAATGGTCGGACAGTGTACCTATGTTTTATTATCGTAAACAGTAATGACTAATGAATCTCACCCGACTCCCAGGTCACGAATATAGAAGAAAAATCTGGGGAAACGGGAATTGGTACTTGCATGCAATACACCAAGCTAAAACTTCTAAGAAATAAGCCGTACGGTTGACACAGTCGCAAAGCTTTTCGGAGGCAATACAATCTTAACCCGGCCGGGCCCGGGGGGTAATCCCAACCACCGCAGCCCGGGGGGGGGCGTTTTTCGCCCCCCCCCCCCCTGTCTAACTCCGTAAATAAGAGAGCTACGGAAACAAAAGCGATACCAAACGAAAGGTCCCTACGAGACGATTCTAATGCACCTAAAATTTTTGACCTCAGGCCAATTTTCAAGGTCAGAGGTCAAGGTCAAAGGCCAAAACCGGCATATGTGTAGTGATCTCAAAGTAAGCCTTTTAGAGGACGGCAGGCTGCATCAAACCGGCAAAATTGGGTGTCAAACGAAAGAAGAGAATCTGAGGATTCTGAAAATGTGCTCTAAATCAAAAGTCAAGGTCAAGGTCACGCTCAAAATTGACCTCAAACTTGGCACTTTTTCGCACATCTTGCGTGCTAACTTCCAAGATGTTTTGAAATGTTTTGAGGCTTATCAGTTCCCTATTTGTGGTTCATCTTACGATACAAGGCTGCTCAAAGGTCAAGGTCACAGAAGAGTATCCCTGCTAGAGGCTATTTCACTTATTAAGTTAGTAATAATAAATAAGACAATTTTGCCATCCGGAAGCTCTAAATGAAGGCTTAGAGGAAAATAGATGCCAGATTCGTGATCAGCGGGTACAAATCCATCATAAACGACCTTTCATGTGTCAAGGTCAACCAGAGGTCATTCGAGGTCACATGAGGTCAACATGAAACTTGACCTTTTCCGAACAAAATATATATCATTCGACGCGGCTTGACAAGGCGAATGCGATGGTACCACTGCCGTAGCTCTAGGACCATTTTTGTCGAAGTTATTTGCGAAAAACTAAAACCACATTTCGGGGTCGTTGACCTGACCTCTGACCTCAGGTCACCAAAACTATTTTTCTATTTTTCTCTAGGTCAAACGCTACACAGCCGTGCTCGTAATTTGTCTTTATCTCTAAAACTCTATTTTTAGCAGTTATTTGAAGTTTGCGTCTGTGACGCCGAAGTTTGCCGTGCAGGGGTCTAGAAAAATGGACCTTGTGACGTCATCAAGGGGGCTAGGTCCAATTTTTTTACTTCAGAAGATGTCAAATTGATGGGAGAAAAGGTACTGCAAGTTTCGCCTTCCTATCCCTAAGCGTTCGGGAGTTATCGCAAATATTCGCCAGGGGGGGCGAAAAACGCCCCCCCCCCCGGGCCCGCGAGGGTTAATGTCCGATTTCGTCTAAGACAGACCAATGGCAGTGATTATCCGACGCTCACTCTGGCCACTGCCGGGCTAAAACACTCAAGGTGCAATATCCTATAGGGCGGAGATCAGTAGCCGTCTGTCGGTACGCTCACACACGGGGCGGCGGCGCAGCGGCGGGCGGCGCGGGCTTCCGGCGCCCCGTCGCGAGCGGCGCGTCGTTACCGGCTCCAAACACGGCGCGCGCCATGCGGGCGCCGCGCACAGTCTCAACAAACGGCGACGTCGGAGGCGACGCGACGGAGGCGCGGCGGCGACCCGACCGGCCGCGCGCCGGAGGGCGACCTGCCGACAGTCGGCACCGGCGCCGGGCCGACGACGGACCGGCCGCCGCCGAGGACAGCGTCAGTCCCCCCGCGGTGTCGGCGACCAGTCTGGCAGTGTCGGTGGCTGGACAAGTCAGTCATTCTGTGTCGGTGACTGGATAAGTCAGTATCTCGTTCCAGGCAAGAGCAGGGACCTGTCAAGTTCAAATCCGCTGTTCGACAGAAGACGCCTGTGAGTTGCGTCAGAACGGTCAGCAAGTGCATTTTGACAACGGTCCCCACCCCTCACGCGCAGTGATCCGACAAAACGATCATAGGGCGTCGCCCACTGACGCAGCACATCGTGCAGCGGTACAGTGAAACGCAACACGCGCGTCGGCGAAGGAGGTCGCCAGACCTTCGGCACGCTCATCATGCACGAGTGTACCTGGGAGCAGGGGCTCCGCCACAGGGGGGTACGCGGGGGTCCGGACCCCCTGAATAATTTACCTGGGGGGTACAGCACCCCCCAATATTCCTAATACGTTTTCGCGTAAGATTGACTAAATCATTTACAGAATTTTTTGAATAAATTAGAATGTGTTGACAGTCGCAAGGCTAAGGAATTAAGATCTAGAAATAATGTTGTGACACACACACGAATTGCTCAACACTCGCCGACCTATAATGTACGGGAGTGTCATTATTCTACCATTTTCTTATTACTATGAATGCGTTTAAGATTGCTTGGATTAGCTAAGCATGCTAGGATTGGGCTATAATTTCGTGAGAGGGGTCCAGTTTGCAGGACACCTCCTATGCACATGAATATCCGCCCCAAAAGAGCTTCAAATCGATCTGAGAATCCTCTTACCATGTGAGGTCACCCAATAGTGCTGGGGGGGGGGGGGGGGTCCAAGCCGGTCTTTCGAACACTATACTAGTCTAAGCAGCCTCACACCGTTCTGAGGTACAGGTCTCGCGGGTTTTAGCGGTAGGTCGCTCGGCGGGCGGGAGGGCAACTAGTTCCGCCCCTGTATCGGCGACCCTTTGCTCCGCCCAGTTTCGCACGAGCGTGTACTACATCACGTAGTAGCGTGGGGGAGGGGAGGGTTAGGGTGGCAGTGTGTGTAGAGGCTAGAACCGGTTTCTACCGTCTGGGCCGGCGACCCGTCATGCGGTCAGGAGACAGGGAAAGGTCAGAGGTCGCATACAATGTGCGGTGCTGTGCCCCGTCCTCTCCACGTGCTGACCAGCGCACGACCCCGTCCGTTGGCCAATCGGTGTTGAGCGGTCAAGGTCGCCCGTAGCCAGCGGGCGGGGTGAGCCGGCAGCGTGCCGATCCAAGGTCGTGAATAGTACACCTTTTTGCATTTGAATTCAACCATTCGCCATAACTGTTTGAGGAGCCATTTCAACAATCGGCATTGAGCACAACTATTCCGGCGTGGTGTGTTTCATTTCAGCCATTCAGCAAAACAGATTGAACACTGAAATGAGCGATCCGCAAAACAGTTTAACACTTCGCCAGAATTCGGCATTGAGCGAGCTCGCTCGGCATATGACGAATAGTTTCGACCATTGACGATTTGTTTTGCACAATGTTTAACCATTTGTCCAATGTCGAGTTATACGGGAAGATCGCCGAATAGTTTTGCACAATGGTGATTCTTTGTGACCAACCGACCATTTGTAGCGCCACCTATATGGCGAATGTGTACAAATGTTTTGCCCAATGGTCAAAGGCTAACGCAAAAAGGTGTATTAGCCGGTTACCAAAGGGGCCGGCAGACGACTGTTTAGCGCTGTTATTTCTTGGGGACGTTTCTCCTTATTATCCGTGACCTGATAAGGCCGGATATCGTGTCACACTACAGTTTTATTTTCTGCCGCACTATAGTTCCAAAACTACCAGACACAAAGCTTACCGCAGAAAATGTATGTTAAAAATGTTGTATGTTAGAAAATGTAAATGTAAATGTTAAATCCCCTTTTCAATCCATGTCTCCCTAAGTATTGTAGATATCGTCAGTCGTCACCAAACTTTTTGGATTTTTGACATCATTTTTAAAAGATAGGCATTTGGGTTCTAGTTACACCAATGTTATTTGTTGTTATCTTTGTTATTTTTTAAGCCAAATCCATATGAGTCGCCTGAAGAAGCGTAAATCCATATGATAGGAGATAAATATGCCTTAGCCTTCGAGTCTTCGACTTTTAGGGGGAGAGGGGTCCGAAACGACCTTTCTTCCTTTTTCAATCCATGTCTCCCTAAGTAGGTATTGTAGATATCGTCAGTCGTCACCAAACTTTCAGGGACCCTCTGGGCATCAATTTTACACCATGCGGGGCCGTCTTTTTCCAGAGAGTATGATAGGTTGGCCAAAAATGACATCAGAATAACGTCATGGGTCTGCAATTTTCGACATTAAAAAAAAACTTTTGCGGGAATAGCTGCCACGCCTACAGTTTTGAACTTAGATAAAAATGTGTAACACAATAAGATGTGTATCATTAAAGCATATTGTTTCAGCAATCATCATATTATTTTCCCAAAAACAACCGAAAGTTTTTTTAACTTCGAGAAAATCTTGATGTTATAGAACCTAGCCCGCGCCCCGTAGGGGGAACGCCCCTTGTCCTTTTCCGTATATATCTCCTAAACGACTGTAGATATCGTCACCAAACTTTCAGGGCCCCTCCGGTTATCAATTTTACACATTGTGACCAAAAATGTATCTAGAGGCTATGATAAGTTGGCCGCAAATCTGACGTCATGTACTGCCATTTTCAACAAAAAAAAGGTTTCGCGGGAAGCGCTGTCAGGCCTACAGTTTTGAAGATAGAGAAAAATATTCCGAAAATACTCCGGCTTCAAAAATCGACTCCGACTCCGACTCCGACTCCAGCTCCGACTCCGGGCATTTCCCTATAAGTCTATATCATGATAGAAAAGTTCATGTCGGAGGTATTTTTATCTTGCCTGAGACAATCATTCGCGCGTTCAATGGCCTTCCATCGCAGTTATAGATACTCTAAAAAATAGCATTCAGTACCATAAGCAGTTTCTAGCACAGCCGGTCTTCTGGTTTTTCGCTGAAAATGATCGTCCAAAACAGAAACCTTGCCTTAGCTTCGACAAAGTCTGGTTTGGAAACATCAACGAGCATCATATTTCCAAGCAAACATGTGTAGGGCTGAGGGCATGACTTTGAGCTATGCCAAATTAACTCCGACCCCGGAGTCGGAGTCGGTAAGATTTTGGCGACTCCGACTCCGACTCCGACTCCGGTCAAAACTATCGACTCCGACCTACTCCGAATCCGACTCCGACTCCGACTCTGCAGCCCTGGCCGGCTATCCAGCGCCGTTTAAATTTTGAAAATCGGCCGGTAACTTTCCGAGATCTTGGGGGCGGGGCGAAACGCCCCCCCCCCCCCCCCCCCCACGGGTGGTAGGGTCCGCCGATAGCCCTACGGGGCGCGGGCTAACGCGGTCCATCGATATGCAAATTACCAGATCAATAGTTCGACTTTTTGGAAAACTTATGGTGAAAAAATTCACAATCGGCATCAATTTGTCAAACTCCCATTTTCGGCCGATCTATGCCGACCTATGGCAGCTACGATTTTTTGTATAGATATACGTGGCGATCCGCCACTTAAGACGAGTTGTTCGAGAAAAAATGAGGGGAGGGGTTCATTCGACCGTCCTTTCAAGTGCAAATAATAATTGTTATAAAAACGGTAACATCGTAAAAATATAATTCATTGTATCTTTCTCAATAAATTATTGTGGATCATTTCGTAATGATAGATGCATTTTAATAAGCAAAATATATTTTTAGTTGATCTGAGTCCAGTTTCACCAACAGCAAACTCGCCGGCTGCCGGAATATTTTGCCCATAGCTGTTACTTTTTCCTATCATTATTTATTATATATTATATATATTATATATATATATATATATATATATATATATATATTATATCTTATTTATTATATTTATCATTTGATATATTAGGTAAGGGGTTATTAGTTGACCTTGAGGGAGACTTCTAAAAAAAAATACTGGCAGCCGGCTATTTTTTTTTTTTTTTTTTTTGGTAACACTGGCCTCAGCACACTTCCATTCTATTCTATGCCTAAACCTATCACCCCGTTCCAGCTCCTCCCAACCCCTGTTTTCATAGACATGCCACACCGGCCGAGCTACAAGGCTGGCGGCGAGCGCCTCACCCCTCCCTACACGCTAAACAGCGCCGGGCTCTCGTGACCTCTAGCCTCACCGCCCGAGGGCTCGGCCGTTGTCCAAGGACGCCCTGCGCGCGGGCCGCAGTGATAGCCTCTGCTGAGTCCCGCGCTTCCATTCACCGTTTACTACGCGCTGGGTTCATTCATGCCTCTGTGTTTCAGCGTCCTACCCGTTGGGTGGCGCCACTGTAGTCATAGGCGACTGCAGGGAAGCCGCGGTCAGAATGCCCCAAACGGCGGATTTTGAGGTTTTCTTTTAAATTTCTCCGAAACTATCCGGCATACGGTTAAACCTTTTTCCATGATCATGGTAGGGAGCTATACGAATAAATTGGTCACATCTTCAAGCCTACGAAGCTGAAGACGAAAAAGATATAGCCGGAAAGGCAAAACCTACCCTTAAAACCCGCGAGACCTGTACCTAATCTGCAATAATCTGCACAGGGCTAAGAACGTTGATTTGAGAGGCCACCATGTCGGTGTCAATGGGCTCCACTTCTCGGTTTTCGATTCCTTGTGCAAACTGGACCTTGGTTTTTCGGTTTGAAGGAAAATTTTCCCGATAGCCGATAGCGATGTTAAGTTTGCTTTGAACTCTAGAAAAAAAAAAACGGAAATTTATTATCGATTTCTGGAGCTGCGGGTGGTGAATTCGCCCAAAAGGCCCATCCTGGAATCACGAGCGAGGTTTTGTGTTTTGGGTCGGACCCCCCCAATCCCAAAACCGTGGCGGAGCCCCTGCCTGGGAGCAAGCTGAAACTAGGAAATATCAAGGAGTTACATCGACTTTTTCCAGTGTGATAACTTAACTTTGAAACTGCGCAATTTCACTGAAGCCAGGGGTGAAGAATTAGGGGAGTTCCTGAGAATGTTAACTATCCT